TGCATGGAGGAATGGGCCAAAATACCAGCAACAATGTGTGAAAACCTTGTGAAGACTTACAGAAAATGTTTGACCTCTGTCATTACCAACAAAGGGTATATAACAAAGTATTGAGATGAACTTTTGTTATTGACCAAATACTTAATTTCCACCATAATTTGCCTGGCTGAACCACATCTAACCAAGCCCTGTAACTGACTGCCTTGTGGACACGATAAGAAGAAGACCATAATTTGCAAATAAATTCTTTAAAAATCAGACAATGTGTTTTTCTGGATTTTTTTTTTTTTCTCATTTTGTCTCTCATAGTTGAGGTATACCTAGGATGAAAATTACAGGCCTCTCTCATCTTTTTAAGTGGGAGAACTTGCACAATTGGTGGCTGACTAAATACTGTTTTGCCCCACTGTATGTATGTGGGCACACATGCGTTTCGGTGTTCACGAATCCTCATTAATGCATTCGTGCACCAGTATGAGCGCAACGTGGTTTGACTCACGCTCCTTTCCTCCCACCGTTTCAGGCCCTGCTGGAGACTCAAAGGGAGCTGCGCACCCATGTGCCCAACTTCACCTTCAATCTGGGCTACTCAGGGAAATTCTTTCACGCTGGTAAGATGCTGCCTGTGAAGAAAAACCTTTGCTGCTGTTAAATCAAGCCGAGATAAAATCATACTCCAAATGTAAAAAGATATAATGTCTGTTTCGATTCACATTATTCAATTTTCTCTACTTCTCTTCTTTCCTTCATGCCCTAACTTTATTTTGGTGCCGTTATTCCCCTTACATGCTTCTGTGCTTCAATTTAATATTTGATCTTCTTCTCTTGCCCCTCACACTTTCATTTCCTCCCTGACCCCACTTCACCTCCTCCTCTTCTTTGTCCATGTCCATTTTTATCTCTTTTTCCATTTCCTTTTCACCCCTCACCCCTTGCTCTTCTGTTAACCTCCCTTCTTTCCACCCTCTCTTTTATGACCAGGGTCTGATGAGGAGGACCTGGGAGACGACCTGCTGCTTTCCTACGTGAAGGAGTTCTGGTGGTTTCCTCACATGTGGAGCCACATGCAGCCCCATCTTTTCCACAACCAGTCCGTTTTGGCTGAACAGATGTTGCTCAACAAGAAATTTGCCATGGTGAGTCACAAGGGGCGAAGGTCAGATCACAGCTCTGGGTGAGCACTGAGTTGTCCTTGCTTATCATGTCTTCTGTGTTCAAATAGGCAAGGTGTTAATTATTTTCTAAGGTTGTAATCTTAAGATTTAAATCCAGGTTGAATACCTTGGGTTATTGAAGTAACCGCAAGTGTGGTTTAAGACAACAACACTTTGTGAAAGAACAATCAGTGTTACTGTTAGCAGTGCAGTCATAAAAATTAATAATTTCTTTTTAAATCCCAGTCAGAAATATCAGTCAATATTTGCAACTGCCATTAGATTTCATGCTGCACACATGTCCAGAAGACAGGACACAGTGGGGTTTGTTAGCTGGCTCAGTCAGACTGGAGATCTGTCTGCCCTAAATCTCACAGCTCTCTGTGAAGGCTCCTTCATGTTCACTTAGTCCCGTGAAAACATACAAAATATATGCTGACAGTGAAAGGAAGAACAATTACATTGGCATTTTTTTCCATCCCGTTTCGTCCTTTAAACACATGAAACGTTAGGCATCAGCAGTAGGAGGTAACTTAATAAGGTCTGATGTAGGGCTGCTCGATTATGGCAAAAATCATAATCTCGATTTATTTGGGTCAATAATTGTAATCGCGATTATTAAATGCGATTATTCATTGACTTTGAAAACATCCATTTATTGTACTTTAAAACAAATACAAATAATTTGAACTTTTTAGCTGTTGAATTATACGTTCAGGGTAATCAACTGAAAAAACAATATAAAATAAATTATACATTCATGTCTACATACATTTTTAATAAATAATATCAAAAATAATAAATACCAATAAACAAGATCAACGAACATGTTGCAGTGCACTGTCACATCCTGAAAACTCCTTAACATTGTTTTTTTGGTAAAACATATTCAACATATTCCACTGGGTCAATAATTGATATCACGATTATTAAAAACGATTATCCATTTACTTTGAAAACATCAACAAAAAAACATTTCAACAGTATGTTTTTAACATTTGATTACCCTGAACTTTAAGCATAATTCAACTGAAAAAAAAAAAAGTCATTAAAAAATAAACGTTTTATTTCGATTACATTGTTTTCGTAATCGTTGCAAGCCATAATCGTAATCGCGATTAAAATATGATTAATTGAGCAGCCCTAGTCTGATGTGAATTAAAGAGAGCTAAAAGTAAACTATATCATGAATTTGGGCTGCATTGCAAAGAAGCATAATTTTCCTGAATACCTCATGTTTATGTAGACAATCTGAACCCAGCGAGGAGTGGCCTTTACAAATTAAACTACAAAATTGTGATAATGAATGAATGTTAAAAAAACATGTTGACTATAAAACGTTTAAAAAATGTGGTTTTAATTTTATAAAGAATCCGTTCGAGCCTTAATATCTTGGGAACATTACAGGTAGAATTTTTATTTTTTATTATTTGCTCTTCTCTCTGACTCCTAATTCTCTCATGTATTTCCCTCTTCCAGGAGCATGGGATCCCCACCAACATGGGTTATGCGGTGGCGCCCCACCACTCTGGCGTCTACCCTGTTCATTTGCAGTTGTACGACGCCTGGAAGAAGGTGTGGGGCATCAAGGTGACCAGCACGGAGGAATACCCCCACCTGAAGCCCGCTCGCTTCCGCAGAGGTTTCATCCACAGCGGCATTAGCGTAAGAACATTTTTCATACACACCGCATCCATAAGGCCTCATTATCTCGTTACCTCTGGCCGATGCTTCCCCTCCACTTGACTTCTCAACATCCATTACCTTGAGCTAATACTCTCTTTCAGGGTTCTCTTTCTCCATCTACATATGCTATCCTTCATTCATTAATTATCTCTCCATCTCCACCTCCTCCAGTTCTTTTGTACTTATTCTCGCCAGCAGCTACTCTCCATCCTGCATTTGTCCATCATCCAACTTTCCTCTCCGCCTCTGCTTTCTTAAGTCTCGTCCCCCAAGATACCGAGCAGAGTCTTATTTTCATTTACGGCGCATATCACTGAGGCAACAGAAGTCCTGAGAACGGCAATCGTCTCATTAGTCTTGCTATGAGATGATAGTGTAGTGAAGTGAGTCGGTGTTGCATGAGACACCTGTCGGAGCAGCGCTGCCCCGCAGGCTTCAGTGCCATAACGAAGACGGACATCTTTGGCAACAGCCTAGCAAGTGTCTGCACACAACCAATCACTGAAATGTCAACACTCCTAAAAAAAACTGCACTCTATTCAACTTCACAGCGCTAGCCGGTGCTGAATAAAATAAGTTATGAGTGCCGAATTAAAGTCGAAGAGATTACATTCAAGAGGTTTCAAAGAAGAAGAAGAAAAATGTTATCTATTCTTTCCTGGTTTGACCTTCAGCGCTGATAGGAAAGCCTGCAGCCTCAGTCCAGTTTCTTTGTAGTGTTGGCATTCAGTCAGCCTGTGTGGTCTCGGAGCTTTACTCGCGTCCTTCAGATAACGCCGTCTGAATGGACAGTCCCCACTGCTTACTGATGATTGATATTCACCTCCCCAGACACTCCAAACTGTAAACGCATTTCCATGAATTTCCATATAGACTCACAGTGAATAAGAGGTTTGCTTTGGCTAGATGAGCTGCATAATATGAATGTTATTGAGAGCAAACAATGTGTGTGGTAACCGCCTGGAGTACTGACGGCGCCACTCTCAGCGGAGGGCTGATGGTGTGTGTTTATTTGTTTGAATGAACTTCTTTTTGATTTCTTTTGGATCTGTGTTGTTTTTTGTTGTAACTTTGTGTTTGTTTGAATTACAGGTGCTGCCCAGGCAGACGTGTGGTCTTTTCACACACACCATCTTCTATAAAGACTACCCAGGCAGCCCGAACGAACTGGACAAGCTCATCAATGGAGGAGAGCTCTTCCTCACTGTTTTACTGAACCCTGTGAGTGAAATTCACATCCACACAGCACAGCTTTTGTCTTGCACGCTTGGAAACCCATTACACTGCTGGTGCGAATTGAAATATAAACGAGGGACGGGACAATGACTAGTCAGTGACTCACACAGTGATGTCTGCGTCGTGCTCTCTGTTTCTACCCTCCTATGAAAGCCTCTTTTATCTAGCGCCACATTCATCAGCATGTTTTGTTTTCCGATGATCAAAAAAGGTTACTGCACATGCATATTAGAACTCTCCTCAAATATAACCTATTGCACTTTTTAGCTTACAAAAAGTAATGAATCTGAATCCAAATGAATAATTAACTAAAAAAGGATTAAAGCTGAAACGTTATGTTCAGCAATTGGACATAAAAATGTAATTTGAAAATACAATACAAATGCTGTCCCACATATGAGACAGGGTTCGACACACATTACTCACAGCAAAAATGACCAAATGTCTTCAGACCTTTAGCCTCACACTTCCGGTGCCTCTTCAATGTCAGAATGTTTAACACATTCCAAAAATATCTCCCAAATATTGACCAGCTCCGAAGCTTTCATCCTCACGATATATGTTTGCTTTTCAAGAACCAGGCTCTCTGTTTAATGTTTTACCAATCGGCCAAGCAATGGGCAACTTGCATTCCCACAAAACTTTTAATACTTTTAGAAATACCATATAAATGTTATGCTGTATAGTCTGTAGTTCTATTCCTCTTTGAGGCTGACCTTTTTTTAAATGTTTTTTCCCATGTATCCATTTCTCCACAACATTTGGTGCATATGTTTAAGCCTGAAAGGGAAGCATTCATCCTTGTTTTCAGTGGCTTTCAAGGGATACTGCCCCATTTTGAAGGATAAGTCCACAATTTCCATAAAACCATAACCAGGCGCTCATATGAACATTGCAACAGTTTTTGATTGCTGTAAATATTCCTCTTGTTTATACACTGAACAAAAATATAAACGCAACACTTTTGTTTTTGCTCCCATTTTTCATGAGATGAACTCAAAGATCTAAAACATTTTCTATATACACAAAATAACCATTTCTCTCAAATTTTGTTCACAAATCTGAAAAAATCTGTGATAGTGAGCACTTCTCCTTTGCCGAGATAATCCATCCCACCTCACTGGTGTGGCATATCAAGATGCTGATTAGACAGCATGATTATTGCACAGGTGTGCCTTAGGCTGGCCACAATAAAAGGCCACTCTGAAACGTGCAGTTTTGCTTTATTGGGGGGGTCTGGGGGGGTCCGAAAACCAGTCAGTATCTGGTGTGAGGGTTAGGATTAGGGTTAGGGTAATGTTGTGAATCGAGTGGCCCGTGGTGGTGGGGTTATGGTATGGGCAGGCGTATGGTATGGACGACGAACACAGGCCAAAAAGGATGACTCGGAATCAGCTGGTGAAAGTAACATTTGTTAGAAAAGGCGAGCTGGGAGTGGAGGTTGGTTATGGCGGGCAGTGGGAAAACAGTTGTTCCAGGGGTGGGTGGAGAGGCCTGGCTGGTCTTGGCAGTGTGGAAGGCCTTGGATTCTTCCTGTGAAAGACACAAAAATGAGCTGATGTGCTGTCAAAAGCAGGCAGGTTGTCAAAGAATCATGCGTAAAAAGGGTAGTCGCCCCAAGAACTACATGCCTGTGAGCTCCCCGGCCAATTAAAGAGGCCAAAACTGCAGCGTTTGAACGGGTGGACGGCTAACAATATTACTTGTCTATAGGCCCAGCTAAGGCGGGCAACAATCGCGCGACCATGGTGCATGAATTGATGTCGCAGCTACCTAGGCTGTCTTATCACTCAGTGTGTGGCTGATGTGGCCAGGTTGCTCCAGCCGTGGTAGGAGATGTGCATGCACAGCAGGCAGGTGGTCGCGCGAGTGGGTGGCAGCGGTCTAACCCACATGAAAGAATCAGTGAGGTTTCTGTCGGACGGGGCGACAGAGAGAATAGTAGTGCTATCTTCCTCTATATGTCTGTCTTCGAGGCTCATAGCAGATAGATAATGTTTTCTAGGAGATTCCATATCTCGGAATACCGGAGATAATGTTGGAGTAAAGAACATGGTTATTTGATATGCTACAATAAATAAAACACATTGGATGCGTTAATTGTAGATATCTCTATGATGTTAAGTTTCACTCTAACATTTTATAGAATGTATAATGTAAGGAAGAATACATAGACCGACCATATCAGAAAGGGCCTCATGTCTCCATGTGGACACCAAACATAAAAACTTCTCGACTGGATTCATATTCCTAGAACAGGATGATATAGTAGGTACGTTCTCAGTAATAGTTTGAATCATGGGGGATCTTGTGTATTAAGCATTGAACAACTACTTGTCGTGAGACTGTTGGAGCGACAGACTCAGACAATGCTACTACGGATTAACATAGCAAATGGTTTTGTTGAATGTATCTTACCGTGATGGTTTGTCTAAGATAAGGAAAAATGTAGGTTGTAGATAGGATATCTTTTAAACGGATCCTTGTACAATCTATAAAGTATGCTCACGCTTTGAATTCTTTAAAGCGCACAACTACAAAATAAATCTAGACGTTTATCAATGTGACCCAATGTTAACAATTCGCATCAACACGGAACTGGTTATGAAAAAATCAATAACCTCAACGAGCAAAATTACCAAATGTTGCTTTCAAATGTTCTTTTTGGTTATCATGACACATCAAGGAGAACGTTGTAGAAGAACATACGTTTAATGTAGTTACGCCAACAACGTCCAAAAAACACATCACTTGAATTGTTGGAGGATAAAACGTATCCACCTTCTGACTTATCACATTAAAAGGAGATTCATAATTTATAAGACAACCACTTTGTACATACCTACAGTGGCTCTCTCGAATTACTCATCTCTGTAAAACATTTCTAAATGATTACTGGCGAATTTTCTCAATTTAAAGTTATACAATTCTGATAACATTCAGGAGGAACGTTTATTACAAGAACAATTCTTTATTGTGAATTACCACACACGAATGTCCAAACCACATCCTTGAGCAATGTTGGAGGCACTAAAACGTTCCCTACCTTTGAACGATAATCTCACTTAAAGGAACATTTTTATAAAACATCTTGTCATCTTCAGAGCCTATAACACCCTGAGAAACAAGTTCGAGAGATGTTTCAAGACTACTCGGTGCGAATACCTTTTTCTGTGAGTCAAACTAGATCAGGCCATCTCCTGGATCACAAGAGGGTTGGGTGTATGAGCAGGTCTTCATATCCAGATCGCAGATCTTTTGAACATTCAATGATATGAGATGAAAATGAATAGCAAGTCTGTGTGTGTCCTATCCTTAACAATACAAAAATACCCGTTGTATTACAGTCCCTCACTTCCGCTTTCGCTTCTCATGACAACTTGATTCTGCTAGCTGAACATCCAAATCAGTATGTGATTGTTTGGTCCGGGACTGACCCTGACCCGATGGATGGCCGGATCTGAATCGGGCACTGCATCGAGAGGTTCAGGCAGTGCAAGACTAAGGCGTGGTCACGGGCAGACGGTGTGGGGACACACCAAAATGGAGTGGATTGAGGGGGAAGGCGACAGGATTCTACGCTTCGATTCCTCCGGGTGGAACTATAACAGTATACAGGACAGTGGTGTTGGCCCAGTGGTGTATCTGCGATGTGAATCATTTGCATGG